TCTCTCTCTCTCTCTCTCTTCTTCTCTCCTCCTCTTCCTCCCTCCCTCCTCTCTCTCTCTCTCTCAGTTTTATCCATATGAACTTTTATGTTCAAACAAAACGAAAAACATTCATCACAATGTTACGACTTTGGTTAGAATGGAATCTGATGTCTCAGTGGAATCTGATGTCTCAGTGGAATCTGATGTCTCAGTGGAATCTGATGTGTCAGTAGAATCTGACATCTCAGAGGAGGCTGATCGCTTAATCGGTGATGTCAATTAGCCGTATTTCACTCATTGCATACGTAAATCTTAAAAGCTGCTTATCTTTGTGTTTTAGTTATTGACTGTGTGATACGGATGGATCTAAGTTAGAAAGGAATGATACGTCGTCTTCCGGAAGATGTTGTCAACCGTATCGCGGCTGGAGAAGTAATTGTACGAGCAGCAAATGCTATTAAAGAGTTGATCGAAAATGCGTTAGATGCAGGTGCTACGGAAATTGTTATTACTGCAAAAAATGGTGGCCTCGATTTGCTAAAAGTACAGGTAATACAAAAATAACTAAAATTTAAAACTTCATTTTTATTCATGTTTTCAAAACGTTTGCTATTTCTTTTTGTTTTTTGTGAACATTTTATTTTTTATTTATTTATTTTTTTTTGGATGAACTTGAATAGTTTACCGCCCTGCTTCTATTCGTCTTTTCCGGTAATGATAATCATTGTTACTTCTCTCTGCATGTTTAAGAAATTTCTTTTTTTTTAGGATAACGGTAAAGGAATTGCCAAAGATGATTTACCAATTGTCTGTGAACGTTTTACGACATCAAAGTTGGAAAGATATGAAGATTTAGAATGTATGAGTACATTTGGATTCAGAGGTGAAGCGTTGGCATCAATAACTCATGTAGCTAAAGTAACGATTATCTCGAAAATTCCGGATTCACCTTGTGCTTACGTTGGTCGTTATACAGGTAATTTTCAACTTTTCATTGCAAATAATTGAGAATTATTATTGAATTAAATGGAAGATACTGAAAATAATTCTCGAAGGATTTGTATTTTTCCCTATAGAAGGCTATTATTTCTTATTATATCCCGTTATTAAGAAGCTAAAGAAGATATTTAATGTTTAGTATTTTACGTTAAAAGTTGCCATATTAGAATTACTGTATTACATGCTGGTTAAAATGCTCCCAAAGTCTTGGCATAATTTAATGAATAAAATTGTGACCAATCACTTTTATAGATAGTAAGCTACAGGGCAATATAAAACCATCAGCTGGACTTGATGGTACCACAGTTACTGCCGAAGATCTATTTTACAATTGTCCATCACGTCGTCGTGCACTTAAATATCCTGCTGACGAAATGAATCGTATTGCTGATGTTGTTGTACGATATGCTATTCATAACCCGTGGGTAATAATGAGAATTTATGGCATTGGAGTCCTTTTATTTGTTGTAGATTTCGTTGTATCAAAATGTTTAAATAGGAAGATGTTTTCTAGAATTGTCAGAATGTTTTCATGTCATCCATGGCCGTTCATTATTTTCAGTTCAGTGTCATTTACCTTACGACGTTGTGGTAGTGGAAGTGATTTTCGAACAGCTGGTACAAACAATCTTTGTGAAACGATATCTTCATTACTTGGTGGAAAATTTTCCAAAGTAATCTTTTCCAAATTAGTAAATTTTCTATCTCGAACCATTTTATACTGCACTACAACAATTGTAAGTCTAAAATTTGGTTTACACATTGTTTTAGGATCTCATCTTGTTAAATCATGGTGATTCAGCGTTATATTTTACTTTAAAAGGCTGTTTGGTACGACCTACTGCTTCCTGTACCGCTGAGAGTCTTCAAGATCGGCAGGTCATTTCTTCTTATTTCTATTTATAAACTATCTGGGAAATGATCATGAATATCGTAAAGGGGCGAATTAAAGTAAATGATTAGAGGATTGAAATTGTGAACGTCTCGGAAGACAATGGTTGAAATATTAATAAAATTATTTTTCTGCAAATTATTTAGTTTTCCCTTTTCACCTTATACAAAATATTTTAATAGGGCGAAAATTTTCCAGAATCGTCAGAAGGTTTTTTATTTGTTCATCAATGGTCGTAGTGTTGAATGTCTTGCGCTGAAGCAGGCACTGGATGTTGTTTTTGCTGCTCAAAATACCATGTCACCGTTTGTTATGATTTCTTTACAAGTATATGAATTTAAATTTTTAATGTTTCATTCTTCCACGGATTTGGAATTGCTGTCAGTAGTAGTAAATTTTATGTTACCAGCTTGATATATGTCGCTGATTGACCATATCATCCCAAATCTGAGTGTCTGATAAATGGTTGATCTCTGAAGTCACAGATGAATTGATTTGCAAATGGTACTTTCGAGCAGCTAATGAACCGGTTAAAATTTTTAATCATAGATTGAGCCGAAACGTGTCGATGTTAATGTGCACCCAACCAAATCTATTGTTTATTTTCTGGAACAGGATAGCATAATCAGTTCCATTCAAGATGTAAGTTTCTTACTTGTTTCCTGTTTTGGAAATTTCATTTAAATTATATTATGCCTCTTATTTAAATTATATCACAAAATTTTGTATACCTTACATAGAACTTCTAACCAATTGTTTATTTCGAAGCTTGTTTCGAGACCGTTACAGTAATACCATATTTTTCAGTATGTGGAAAACTTAATTCTAAGTTTGGCTGGTAGTTGTGATGTACATCCTAAATTTCCATTGATGACCGATAGTAATGATAACAGTTCATCAAAATCGGTTGATACAATGACTGCTTCAAGTACGAAGAAAAAGCAACTAACGATGCTTGTATCAGAATCGCTTGGTGGACCGCCACCATCTTCCAGTATAAAGTCACCAAAAGTTTATCCCCACCAGGTTTCTTAATTTTAAATTTTCGTTTTTGTTTTCGTGGATTTAAATTCATAATTTCATGACTTAAAAGTAGAAATTCTGGATTTTTTCTAGCTCGTGCGAACTGATGCAAAGGAGAGACGCTTAGAAGAATTTGTTGCTAGTCAATCACTAATTGTATCATCCCCTTGTGCGACAAATGATTTTAATTCGAGGTTACTTTTGTATCATGGATAATCAAACTGATTGATAGACTGTGTTTATTTGTAACGAAAAAACATACCATTATGTTTATCTGTAGTCTTATCTAGCCTACATTCGGGTTACCATCCATGGATTTAAGTTTTTAATCTGCTCAGAACTAGAAGCTTCGGTTGGGCATACTGGAAATATGGATAAGAATTTTTGTTTCGAGTTTCCAGTTTTCGCACTACGATTTTAATCATTTGGTTTGAGTTAGATACCGAAATCATCTTCAATATTAAAAAAGTAGATCAAGGTTTGGAATTTTGACGCGAATTCAGTTCTGTCATAAATTTGGTTTAAGATTCGCTTTATTTAGCGTAAAGACGCTAGGTGATGGTGAGTGGCGCAAATTTGAATTTGAATCACTGCAAAGTATGAAGGAAGCAATTTGTACAACAGCTTCTGTCAGTTTACGTTCGTTGTTCAAGGAACACATATATGTTGGAGCCGTGAATGTCGACCAGGTCCTTATACAACATTCAACGTCAATTTACTTGGTGGATGCTCAAGATTGTTTGCGAAATTTTTTTTACCAGGTAACTTTTCTGCAACTAAGTAAAGATTGATGGAAAAACAAATGTAAATATGAAAACAAGACATATTTGCAGATCCCCTTCGTTAATTAACTCGGACATGTGAGTGTAATTTTTTCGAAGTTTTTGTTTTAGTGAATGACACTCAGTGTGTTTTCTGGTATTTGAAATTGTTTTCTGATTAAGCTTCCTTTATGATACTAATCTCCAAAGAAATATTAGAAATGCTTTATCATCCAGTTGCACAAACTGTTTAAAAAATGTCTTGCTGATTGAGTGTTTTTTAATTCTCTGTAAGCAGTAGTGTACATCGATAATTCTATCTATTAATAGTAGAGCAGTTGAAATTTTTTCTATTTTCCTAATATTGTTGAAAATTTTTTAAATTTCATTTTCGAGCTGTGAGGCACCTTCACTTGCAGATCCTCGTTCTTTCATTCGGTAATTTTGGGTCATTTAAACTAAGCGAATGCGCACCGTTAGCTGAACTGTTGCACATTGCTGACAGTAACTTATCTCCTACAGAAGTCCAGCAGAAAGCAGCTACTGTAATTGAAAATCGTGAAATGTTAGATGATTACTTCTGTTTGTCCATTACGGAGAATGGAAATCTTAATTCAATCCCGTCTTTAATTGATGGATTCATTCCGCAACTGGAATCTCTTCCACAACTGTTATTGACATTGGCAAATGACATTACATGGAATAATGTCAGTTATATTATCGGTTAAAATGTTTAAATTCACCAATGCACTTTATAATATTACATATAAGCTTTTAAACAACATTATGTGTAACATCTCCTAGATTTTAATTCCAAATGCTAAAATCGCTTTTTTTAGAAGTCAAATGAAAAAATATAACAAAGAAGTCAGTTACATGAAAAATTTTTTGAAAATTGATTTTAGTTTGTCATTATTTCAGGAGCAGGCTTGTTTCGAACAAGTTTGTTGGGCGCTGTCGGAGTTCTTTTGTCTTAAAAAGGAATTTTGCGATGGTGAAGCGATTTCGGGTTTGTCTACTGAAAAGCTGTCTTGGAAAAAGTGCCTATAAAGATATTTTATTCCCATCATTAAAAATCAATTTTTTGCCGCCACAGAAATTAAGATGTTCACTACATCGAATTGCTGATTTGCACGATTTGTACAAAGTTTTCGAGAGATGCTAATGCCTATATAATTTTATATGAAAAAAAAGGGAAGAACCGTTCTCTAAACCTTTCCCTTCATTACTTTGGAGTAACGAAAACAATAAAATAATCCTATGTTCACTTCATGCCCATTCATTTTTCCAATAGACTGCCACAATTCATGTCATTATTCTCCATTCCGGATGTCATTATTGTTTTGCCGGTATTGGTTTCTTCCCGATTATAGCGACATAAGGTGACCAGTAAAATGGGTAGTATGAAAAGTCCATGCAACAGAGCTAATCCTACATCCAGAAAGACTGTTTTAGCAAATGTTAAAATTGCGTATGTTGGAACAAAGATAAGCGGCAGCATACAAAGTGCTGTTGATATCCCAGCCTGTAAATCAAAATTTCTGCTGCCGGAAGAATTATAATTCAATTAAATTAAAGTGAGACTTAATTCGATGTTTAGCATTTTTTTTTTGTCTTTCTAAAGCTAGCTTCAGATTGGGTCAGACAAAGGAGATTTAGTTGAGGCTTAATCAAAGCTAGGTGGCATTATATTTGTATGCCATAAATTCAGAAACTTGAGATTCGATTTGAAAAGTTGGTCTCTTTTTCAACTGGGTACTAATAATCTAAGGATATACTGAAGAGCAACGGTGAAGAAATAAAGAAATTTCTACCTGGAGCATAGGACTGAACATTTCACGGAAACTTTGTTTAATTCGTTCCTCCCGGTCACCGGTCAGTTTGTAGAATTTATATGCAATATGAGCGGTGTAGTCGACACTAAATCCGGTAGCAATCAGTACATCAACCATTGTTACTGGGTCCATATCTGCTCCCCACCATGACAGTGAACCAACGAGTGCTAAAATAGGAATAAATCTTGCTTTAAAACTTTTTGTTCCTCTTACCTTATCGATTTGTTTTCAAGCAAAATATTCGATGTATGATTGAAACTTACTAAAACAAATAGATGAGATCGTTGAAGCAATAATCAATACGCCAATTTTACTGCCAATAAAAAATAAGCATACAATTGCCATGCAAATAACTGTAACAGTAATTGACCCAATCAGATCCTTTTTTGCAGTTAGTATTAAGTCAAGTACAGCTGAATCACCATCATAAACGGTAGCATTGAAACGTGGATAATTACGGAAAACCGTACGACATGCATCCACATATTCGGCACGATTGGACCATTCAGACATATTTCGTGCGGTTGCTGTAATTACGAATGACACCAACTTCTGTTCACCACTGAAAACAAGGTTGAAATTTAATATTTGGAAAAGACATCTCTTATTAAATAGATGGAACTTTCTCTTGCTTGCTTGTTCCTCTGTATTACTGTTTTTTTTCTGATTGTGAAATTATTTGGAAACATTTTCTACAAAGCATTATACTTACATTTCTTTTTTCCTTTATCTAATCTCTTTGATCAACTTGTTTTATGCCATGACTCTTGCAAGCTTGACCCTTTTTTGTAAAGTGATTCGATAACAAAAAAAATTCTTTATGGTTTTATGATCGCAATGCTGTATTTTTGAAAAGATGCTCCCCATACGTGCTAATCTTTTGAGGATTGAAACATCTTTGATTGTTATGATATCATCACAGTTGATATCAACTTATCATAAGTTCAGTTCATCCTAAACGTTCACTATCTAATACATTCATATTACTTTTAATCGAAAGTATCCTTGTTATTTCATGACCTATTTTGATACCAAATATCATTTGACACCAAATATCATTAAAAATTTTGACCAACTTCTCATCGATCCTCATTTTGATGAATGGTGGATTTTGGATGTGATCCAGAAACATCGGCAAATTATCATACGATGGTTTGAAATCTTCTTGATCTGCCAAACCTAACATATTAAAGAAATTGTATATTTTACGATCAAAATTTTCGTATGTTTGCAAGAAGATCATCGTTTGATTAGGCCCATAGCTGTTAGGTACCGCTTCCAAACTTCTTATCATATCATGGAACTCGTTATACTGAAACCATATGAAACTAGAACTGAATGACTCGATTATAAATTCAATTATATTTAGGAAATTACAACTTTTTGTGCTTCGAAAATTTATTTCCCTTACGAATTCATCTCAGCCAAATAGCTGAAATAAGTTAATAACAAGCATCAATTTTTGTTAGAAACTAATTTTTCAAGAAAAAAAAGTCAATTTTCAAAGAAAAACCAATTCTTAAAATCAGAAATCAAGAAATCAACTTTCGAAGTACGAAAATTATCAAAGGTAATTATATCGAATTTGAAATATTACAGAGTAGAAACATACCTCCGTTGAGTCGCTTATATTTGGTGGGTTATTAATGACAACTTGAAGTGGGAAAAATTCATCAAAAACATGTCTGAAAATGCTGCCATAAATAAATTTTGATTTAAAATTTTTTTTTGTGCTGTAAGGAATAGGAAAATTAAAAAAATGAAAATAAAAACAGTTAAATGAGGCCAAAGTTTAAGTCCTGAGCATTTACTTACTTAACCACTTTTGTTAGACAGAGTCTGCGTAATTTAGGAACTTAAAATTCAGAAATTGAAATTTAGTGAAAATTTTCAGTTTTTGGAATCTTTTTGATGTAAAATTCAGCTTAAGAAATTAAAATTTAGTGAAAACTCTAGACTTCCTTACTAAAAAGAAGTCTAAAGAATCTTTCAAAAAGGAGTAAAATTAGGTTTATTTAGCATACCGAAGGACAATAAATGAACTTGTGGATATCGAATCAGACGGAAATGCTTTTACAGGTTCAAAGGTTGATTTCATTTTCATAACTCCTATTGATGACAGGGAGTATAATACCATCAATATGGTTATTGCAATAATTTGACCCTTCCACGAACATATCAACTTGCTATAACTTCTCAGAAATTGTTCGCCAAGCTACAATTCATCGAAGTCATTCAAAACATCAAGATCACAATAAAAATTTTTTGTCTCAAAATGTGAAATTCACTATGAAATTTGGTAATTCGTCTACGATCTTTTTACTATCAATGGGAGAAAATGCACGAAAAGATGAATTGAAAACATAAGGAGGAGATAAAAGTAAATTAAATTCCCTTTTTATGTTTCGATATTTCTTACCTCATTTTTTGGTACTTTTTTCGCCATTACATAGCCCTTCTCTGATTTATCAGCCAAGTAAAGAATTGGTGCCAAAAGTGTAAATGTGAAAATATAATCTAATAAACAGGCAAACGATGTGCATAGACAAAATAAGCTCATCTTAAAATTTAAAAGCATTATCTGAATATTAGTCCGCCATTATTTCATTTTGTACGACATTTAAATTTAATACTCAAGTGATGATGACAAGTCGAAAAAAAAACTGACTTTTTTCGTCTTGTTTTTTGGAGGTTTAAAAATTCTAAAACCGCCTTAGTGGAATTTTCTTCTCTTCCCTAGTTTGGTGGACACTCATATGACGGCAACATTCAATTATATCAAATTTTAAAATATAAACTATAGTAAAGAACTTGCCTTCCATTAAGTCTCTTCATTTACTTTGCCCTCTATTAAGTCTCCTCATTAAGTAATCTCATTCAGTCATTAATGATTTAGAATGAAGATAATAAAACTCCGCGCAATAATGCCATATTTTTGAAGAAGAGAAGAGCAAAAGGATAAGAGTTATATCAGTGGATATGAGGACATGAAGTAGTGGATGTGAGAATGTTTAACGATGCAAATGACAGAGTGAAGAAACTTGCTTGTGGTGTTGGAGTCAGATAACCAATACCAAAAGCAATCAGATTAGTGATAGATGTAATGCTAATTGATGGTCCAATTTCGACAAAAACTTGCGCCAATCTCTCATTTCGAGATGTTACGGTCCTTAGACGGGTCCAAGCTTGGATCATAATAAATGCATCGTCCACTCCTGCAACGTACTCACTTCGCGGTTTACATCATCGTCAAAGTGATCCTTTTTTTGTATCTTTTGATATTTATAAATCTTGTTGTTTGGGTGTATTCACGTTTAATCCCAATACATTTCCCGCTCTCCGGTCATTTGTATCCTCGCATAAAGATATAATTCTTTTTAGTTTTAATAGTCGCAAATACAAAAAATCTTTGAATTTATTCTCATTTCAATCATTTATCAATGTAAACAAGTATTAGTACATGTTGCAACATTGCTAGGAGTAGAATCAGCCCAAATTTTCGACTTTTCATCTTTTCCAAAAGCACACCGTCAAAAATAAATTCGCATCAAAAGAGTGACAAAAACAAACATACCGATCCCAAGAATGAGAAATGGTGTGACACACATCATCGAATAAATGGGTAATCGTAGCCAAGAAATAATACCAAATGATGAGATAGCAGCTAGAAGTGGTGAAAGTATTGTTGCAAAAACAATTGGTGGAAGAAGACGTAACTCCATTTTGCGCCACACAACAAGGAATACGAAACAAATTAAGAAGATGAATCCAACTGTCATTAGTTTTGTTGCCTATAAGTTTCTGGTATTAGTTAAATGACATTTTGATTTTGAGCGAAAGATGGAAATTCCATTCAAAAATTCCCACCAAGCAATTAAATTAAAGTGATAGCATTGTTCCAAAGTGGAACAAAATTTGGAACGAAAATTTCAAACATTCAAATTGACCAGTTGAAGTTATTCTTTTACTTGCAAAAATTGCTCTTGCAAAAAACATTTGTATTATTATTTTTACTTGATAAGCGCCTCGAATCATCTCACGGTTTGCAATTTCATCACCAAAAATATTAAAATTAATCCATTTGGTGATATTTCGCTTTCTAGACATTTCGAACAATGTAATGGTCACATTTTGAAGCATCTTAAGTTTATGTGGATTATCAGCGTTGACCAAATGCCATAGCATAATGGTTCCTACTTGTATTATTGTTGATCGATTTGGGAATACGTGATCTAGAAACGACACGCAAGTTTTTCATTTACAAAATGAAACTTTTTGTGTGAAACTTCAGCCAACGACAAATGTAAAGGAAGAAGTAGAAGAAACGACGGTGGAAATGTTCACTACGAAAAGAAAAAAGCCATAAAAAACGAGATTTATTCAATCATTTAAAAAATTTGGAAACATTGCCGGAGGATTGTACATCGAACAAATTTGATCCAAGAAACAATTCCTGTCCATATATCGTTGATGTCGGAAAAGCAAATATAGCATTTTGATCGTAATCCGTATCATTCACATTTTTCCTAATTTCATCCTGCAATCTTTTCATCATAATAATATCAAATTTTCTCTTTCGAAAACTTATTTGAAAATGGTAAAAAGAATTCAGTCTTTTGAGCTCATTTATTTCTGATCTTTGCTTAATAAACATCTCAAACTTTGATGTAAAAGTGAATAAAAAAGAAAATATTATTTATCTTCGACGATGCTAATTAATTCTTCGTTTCGATCATCAATTAAAAATTAACATTTAAATTAATGGGAATGTCCCGAATTGCAGTTAAAAAGTCTCATTAAGAAAATTATGATTTTAAAATGAGTACTGCTACTTGTTACAAAAAAAGTTTTTCTTTTTCTTACATTACCCAGAAAAGATTAATTGGCTTATTAATATCACAAAATGGATGACACATTGGGACATCGAAATGTTCAGTGTTATTTAACACGTCAGTCATTATCCGATGAATTTGATACATTTCCTCAATATGATTTTCACGTAATATTGTTCCACCATCTTTTGCGTAAAATATGATAAAAACGCGTTGAGGAACGCTAGCAATATTATAAAATTGCATGTATATTTCTTCTTCCCTGTAAAAGTCTTTTTCTTCTTTTTGTTCCAAAAAAAATCATGACAATTAATAAATGATTGCATTAGAATTAATAAGTAATTACATTAAAACTAATAAGTGATTATATCAAAATTAATAAATGATTATATTAAAATTAATAGATGACTACATTAAATTAATAACTGACTAGATTAAATAAAATATTTTCAAAATTCGTAAACTAAACAAAAGAAAACCTTCAGACAGACATCAATACACAGAATTCTTCGAAATATTACATAAATTTCTAAAGGGACGATTTAATTTTTATTAAATAAAATAATAGTCCCTTCAAAAATTTCTCGCAGGAATACTTGAGGTTGAACACTTTCAAACAATTAAATGGAAAATTCCCTAAATGTGCGATACATCAAATTTGTACTTGTAATTCTTGTCATTTCGTTGAGATATAAGTTGATAAATCTTCAGTATTGTTGCTTTATAAAATGTTTTTATAAAGTTTTTAATTTTTCAGAGGAACTTAAAAGCAAATTGTTTGAATGCTGGAAATTTATATTAGACATATTAAAAGGAACCTTCTATTCGGAACTGATAATTTAATCATATGAAAACTTTTATCGAGGGGAAAATATACCTGAACTATTATTTTAGATTGAAACAATATTTAATGTTTATTTTTTGCCTTTAAATTCTGCACCAATCCAATTTGCTGAATAAGATTTTACTTCAACTGTTTCAAATTACCTCTTCATCGAGAAATTTTCTGACTTTTAAGTTAGTAAGTACTGAAAAGAAACATTGGGGACAACTCTTTAACTTCTAAAATCAAACCCTCAAATCATTATTCCCTTACACTTACATCTCATCTTTCTATCCCATTTAAAAAATTAGAAAAAAAAAAAACTGTGAGCATTTATTTGAACCATTCTACTAGATTAACCAGTCAAATAAATAATCAAAATGATCTAGAAGTTAACTAGAAGTAGTAGAAGTCAACAGAAGTAAACAAAATGGTCTGAATGACAAATGTGATGACATCATTAATATTGATTATAGTGATAAAGATAGAAATTGATAACAGCAACCTAGCTGCTCTTGATTTCGGTGGTGAGAAACTGCGTCGTATATCATCCTCTAAAGTTGAGTTAAATAATGACGACGATAGAAATGCAGAGAACAGAAGTGTTGCAAAAAGGAATGAATACGGATATGTTGCAACAGCAATAGCAATCTGTCGATTAGCTCGATCATATATGTGCCTGGAAAATTGTGGATCTAGTTTGTCTACCTTTTTCATTATCAGTTGATCTAGATTGAAGTCATTTATGAGAGAACAGGACTACAAATATCATCTCTGACAAGGATTCCAAATACCATCTATGATAAGGATTGCAAATATCATCTCTGACAAATATTTTGCGTTTCATGTAATTTTTGAAATGCTATTTTTTTTTTTTTTAAATTGCTACACTGATTTTTTTACGTGGAACTTTAGGACATTTTGCAAAACAGTAAAAAGCGAAAACTGTCATGAAGCAGAACCAAATAAACAAAGAGAAATCATACTGTAATAGGACTTCCTAAGAGAATTGTTCGAAAGTTTAAACTCATAGGATTCAAAGATTGCATATGTCATTTATGGTAAGCGAATTAAACTGATTAAATTAATTTGACAAATTAAATCCCGAACTATCTGTGAAATCGTTTATGTCAATAATAGTAGAAATAAAGAGTACAAAGTAAAAGTGGAAAACACTTACTCCATCCGAACCCTGGATTAACAGCACGTACCAAGGTGAGAAGTGTCAAATCCTGAATTGAAATCACGTGACCCGCGTGTAAAGTAATGTCCGAACCTTGGATTAACACCGTACACCAAGGTGAAAAGTGTCAAATCCTGAATCGAAACCAAATAACCCACGTGCGAAGTAATACATACGGAGGTGAAAAGTGCTAGATCCTGAATTGAGATCAAGCGGCCCACGTGCAAAGTAGTACCCGAACCTTGGATTAACACCACATCCCAACGTGAAAAGTGTTAAATCCTAAATTGAAATCACGTGACCCACGTGCGAAGTGACCTTATCCAAATGGGAAAAAGTAGTTCCAATAAAAACGACAACCATGCTAAACAAGCGTTTTTCGTTGCCAAAAAGTGGTTTTTCATTTGTTTCTTTATGAAAAAAAGAATCACTTAGCTGTCACCGTGTCACCTTCTACTGTCAATTCGATGTAACTTGCCTGTAGCAGTTAAATTTTACGTTTGAGAACACGTCGAATATAGGAGTTACTCAAGAAAACCAATATGCTAATTATCATCTTGATTGAATTTTATGAAAACATAGTTTATCGTCGAAATATAATAACGAAGTAGTATAGAGATTTCTTGGCACACATTTCATCACTTAATTACTTTTAATTAAAATTAGAAGTGAAAAGAAGTTTTACTTAAAGATAAAATTATTCGTTGCAAGATATTGAAATAGAAATTAGCTAAGATTGAATTGATTTGATGAGTTTTTTAATGATAAATAATTTATGAAATGTCATTTGCGATTGAGTTAGAAACAGTGACAAAAACCGGTCGCATATTCTTTGATTTGAGAAAAAAAAACATTCATAATTTACGAATCCTATCGAAAACTGGAAATAAATTGTAAACATGGTCAATTCAAGGGAGGATATTGGGTAAGTTTAAAGTCCGAATATAACATAAAAATAAATATACAATATAAACAGTTGAAGTGCAGTTGAAGTGAGAAGTGCAGTTGAAGTGAGAAGTGCAGTTGAAGTAAAAAGTGCAGTTGAAGTGAGAAGTGCAGTTGAAGTTTACTTTTCTTTCTGTTGGAAATATATTAAAATTCATTTGAACACTTACCTTTTTTTTTTTTACAGACGTTGAAATCACAAATGAATCAAAATGTTTGAAATTTTTTTTTTCTTTTTGTCATTATCAATTTTTATTTCAAAACTTGTTTCATCTGTTCGTATCTATTACCTAGTATCGATTAATAATTAATTAAAGGTATGGGAAATATTCTCAATGATACATTTATATATATATATATGTAGAGAAATAGAGAGGGAGAAGGAGTATATGTACGTGTTATGTGTATATCATCAAGTGCTATAGATATTCTTGACAATAATTATGACAAGTTCAATTTCACAAAATTCTATCATATTCTTTATTTTATCGTTTATATATTTTAATTCTATTTTATTTTTATTATTGATTATCCAAAATAGTTAGAAGTTATAAATCAATTCGAGAATTCACTGTCCATTCAAATTACAAATCAATTCGAGAATTCACTGTTCATTCAAGTTACAAATCAATTCGAAAATTCACTGTCCATTCAAGTTACAAATCAATTCGAAAATTCACTGTCCATTTAAGTTATAAATCAATTCGAGAATTCACTGTCCATTCAAGTTATAAATCAATTCGA